TCAATTTCACCATTTACAAACATATTCAGACGAATTCAGTCGCTAGAAACTGAGTTTCAAAAGTAAGACGGACTGTCTTCTCCTATATATCCTCGGCGTTCAGTGGGAGTCACAGGCGGGACCTGTTGGTAGTGGCAATAGCTGAGGTAGTTGATGAAGACACACTTCTTAATTGCCTGTCGAATAAGATGCTTTATTTGTGAATAATCATCACCGTAGGTGCTACAAATAACAAAATAGAACATTATTATTAATATACATGATATACAAATGGCGAACATTATTTGTTAATTTGCAACTGATGAATAATTTTCACGTTTTCTGACCGTGACGCTTTTTAGCTTTGACACAAGTTAAAAGCGATAGGCTGGGCAGGCTGGAGTGCTTTTCATTCATCTTACTGTACGCTCTAAACGAAACAATTATTTCACTATAGCGCTCCCGCCTTCTCTCTATACCGCTAACCTGGTTTACGCTCCAGTGAACTGGCGGGTTGGTGGAGAGCTGAGTCGTCTGAGGAGCAACAAAACGCCTCCATGTATTTTTAACTCGCAAACAACACAACCACTAACAACAAGACCTTGTAACATTTTATATATACCTAAAGATCAATCCATAACAGTTGTGTACAGACACAAAACGAACCAGCTTGCATTTACACTTCTGTATGCATGGGGGCTGACTGTTCCAGTATTCGTGCAAACTAGAACGTAACAAATCACATACATGTACATGTAATTCAGCCAAAGTGCCTTAATATCGGGTGTTGCCACCTTGTGCTTCGTGCTCGCCCCAGCACGACATCGATCGAAGTACTGAATATATGACAACATATATTATCAGGGATCCGACGTCATTCCTTCTGTAGGACCAGTACCAACGCATTCCCGCATTCCTAGTAAACAGAGGCTGTTGTCGTTGTCCAGCTTGGCTTCCCAGATGATCCTAGAGGTGCTCATGTCAGGAGATCTTGCTGGGCACGACAGCTTGTTGACGTTAATGGCGTTTAAATATACAAAACAAAAAATGAAACTGCACATATGCTATTTTATGTCCAAAACAGAGTGTGTTGCTAGTGGATAAATCTGGGTTAAGGACAGAAAGACAGATATTTTATTAACGTCTCACCTTGTTTTACTTTACATATATATACAGTGTTAAAGATAACAATAAACTTTTACACATGTCATTCCATAGGAATTCAGAGAGAAAAAATCAGCATGTGTAGAGAGCACTTCAAACTTCCCTGCTTCTGCTAAAACATTAAAATTGGGACATACGTACATATTCTGCTTCTTTAAAAAGGGTATATCGTAAATCATCATAAGTAGGACAGTATTAAATAACATGATATTCATGTTCAACACAGCAGTTTTCCCACATTGGGCATAGTCTCTCTTCCACGGGTAAACGTTTATATGGCTCTGTCTCTAGTGTGATAGGTGCTACTCCCAGTCTAAATTTCGCCATAGCAGTTCTGTGTTCGGGGCATATGTGATACTATGAAATGTTCCGCTTGATATCCACTTTTCTTCACAGTCCTTAGCTTCCCTGTATTGTCATTATTCCTTTGAGTCCATGCACACCTATATCTGGTGAATAACGTATATTCCAATATCCTAACCATGCCTGGTTGAACTGAATCTTGTACAAGAAATATACTTCTTCAAACTGTTGTCATACATATATCTGCGCCACTATTGTAAACCTGCAATCTTTTGTGACATGCTTACGGGTACTGCTCATAGGTCACCAAACACTCCATCAGTTGCAAATCTACCAACACCTAAATAAAACCTACATGCCCTGTTCTGAACGGCGTGTGTACACGTGTGATCCTGAAGACCCCACACAGCTGCTCCGTATGTGATAACCGGTAGCACTATACTGTCATATAGCTTATAAAATACTCTGAAATCTTTATCTCCAAAAAGTTTACACTTAGCTATCACCAGACCTATAGGCCTCTGTTTGCAGACTCGGCTACGTATTTTGCCGTGACACTAATATCTAGAAGTTCATTCACTGTTAGCCTCTCCCTTTTTCGCCAGAAGTGCTGTATCAGTGAGTGAATGAGTGAGTGAGTTTGGTTTTACGCCGCTTTTAGCAATATTCCAGCAATATCACGGCGGGGGACACCAGAAATGGGCTTAACACACATTCCACCCATGTGGGGAATCGAACCCGGGCCTTCGGCGTGACGAGCGGGCACCTTAACCACTAGGCTACCCGACTGCTCCAAGTGCTGTATCATCTGCCTATAACAAGATACTCAGTTTTTCTTCTCCACACTGTACTCCCAATCCCACAAGTTGAAATACTTTTGCAAGATCATTTATGAAGATTTTGAAGAGTAAAGGGGATAGAAGAGACCCCTGTTTAACTCCGCTGTTTACTTTAATCCAGTCAGTCCATAATCCGTTGATCCTCACACAACTATATACAGTTCTATACATGACACGAACAACGTTCATCATATAACCATTTATTACAAAGTGCTCAAGCTTATTGATAACAGAGTATATTTCGGTCGACTGAATCATAAGCTTTTTTGAACTGTATAGAAGCACAAAAAGTTGATAACTTCTTCTTTCTTGTATCGATTAAGTTAGTTAACGTTGTTATGTGGTCCACGGTACTGCGGCCCTTTGTAAAACCATTCTGTTCTTCTTCTTAGTACTATCGCCAGAACAATCTGTTAACCGAGCATTGAGAATTCCACAATATAGCTTATACACTCTCGATGAGAGTGAAATACCTCTGTATGATTGGGGTCCCGCTTGTCTGTCATGCTAAAATTTTGGTATGGTTTGGATAATTCCTATAGTGCAATATTCTGGTAGTCTTCCTGTTGTTCATCATAACCAACAGCTTTGCCATTCTTCAATTTGCGCATAGCCATTTCCAATCCATTCATAGTAAGAGGATTATCACTTCTCGGGGGGTGACAAGACGTACGCCAGTTCATCACCACCGTTAACATTAAGCAATGTATCGAATTCATTTCTCCACTTTGTTAGCACTACTCTAGATCTCTGCCCACATGATACACTTCCGTCTTCATCCACGACCTCCAGGAATTTGTTTATTTCGCTCCATTCCAACACCAACCTTTCCCATAGATTTCCAAAAATAAGTCTGATATTCTTGTGCGGCCTCGAACAGATCCTGTCGAAGTGACAACCTGCAGTTCCTCTTAGCTCCCTGTACACTTCGATCGAACGTTCTTCTGAAATGTCTGAATACCTTTAGTGAGGACTTCTGTGATATCCCTTTACGTTTACACTATTTCCGTTCAGCATGACATAATTCATTCCACTGGCGAGTTAAAGCGTCCTTCCGCCACTCTTGCTTAGCACGGCGTCTTTTGTTATTAGCACCAATTCTAATAGTGTTATGAACTTTTATCACTTTATTTCCATCTCACATCTGTTTACGTTACAGATGCCGTTATATGTAGAGTCTAAACCAATCTGTGACTTTCACGTTCTTCAATGTCACTGACAAGTTCTTGTAGTTGATGAACTTTGTACAAATCTGTCATAAAATCTCCTGGTATGTTATCAACAATGAATTTATCATATTCACATTTAAAGCTTGAGTTCTCCATATCTTTCTCCATATGACCATGTCCTTCTGATTCCATTGTCCACGCTAGAAGAGAATGGTCAGGAATAGCAGAGCGTCCACACCAGTTTGAGCAAACACTTCAGTTGACCAGTACACTTGCCCTAACAACTCTAAACAGTTGTAGATTTTCGTTGGGGACCAGCTACTGAACTTCCACGTGTAGATACGGTGGTGTATTCGTTCTGGATACTTTTCTCCCGTTAAGAATACACATATTGGTATCTAATATTAAATATAAAATGGAGCCATACCTATTTTGTGTGTAATATATAATGCCCCTGTCGGGTAAGCTGTCAACGCCATCGATAAGATCCTCTAAATCACCACACCGACTGTTCAGGTCTCCAGAAATATATACAGCTCCAGTTTTTTTTATAAGATTAGATATCAGTTAATAAGTGATCACAGAAGCTACTCACATCTATTGCTCTGGTAGAATTTTCTGGTGGGAGATAGCAAACAGACACAATATACACGAGTTATTTCCTTATGGCTAAGTTACCAGGAAACTCTGGAGCCATACTTCGCTTTACGGTGGCCATAAAAGATAAAGCCTGGCATTTCAATTGTGTCGTTGTCTCGGAGATGTGTTTCACTTATTTCAACTCTATCAACACCCGAGAACTGTACATAACTAGCTCTTACTGGATAGTTGCAGGATAAGTTATCAGTGCTCCAACCATTAACGTTCAAAAAACCACATTTGAGCTTACACTTGTTGTCCCAGCCTGTTAAGCCTCTGTGCGCGTGGCTCTCCCGTGCGTCTCGCTCTGCGTATCGGCGCTCCCGTTCACCGTTACGACCGTACCGTTGGTTTTCTCTCGTTCGCACGTTCATCTGAGAAGTCTTCCCTATGAGTTCATTATTGACTGAAGTTAGGGTTTGGGTCATGGAACAGCATACATTATGTTTCCAATACAGTTTCGTCGCCATCAGCATTTAACGGTCTGTAATGTTTACCTGGATAATAGCACTATGGTACATAGTTATTATTTTCGTAATGCACACACCACGTTTGTGTTTACCATGATTCATTCATGTTGGTGCACCGTTTCGTTTGCCATGTACAACAGAGCAAGAAAACGTTAGATAACGTCAGATGTCATCTCAACAGCGTTATGTGCAATACGATGAGACATCTATGCTATGCTATGCTATGCTATGCTATGCTATTCTATGCTATGGTTTGACTAGGGTAGGCTAGGCTAGGCTAGGTTAGGATATGCTATGCTATTGCATTGCAGTCACTATAAAATGACTAGGTTAGGCTAGTATAAAAGTAAACACATTTTCTGCATCACAAGAGAAATCATAATGAAACAGTAATATTATACTATCAACTCAAAATGCAGAGCTCTCATCTTTTTCAGGCAGAGCCAGTGAAGACTTCAGAGATGCTGAAGTATTTCCTGCTTGTAATAATAATTGGTGAGTTATTTGTTGTTCATAAATATATACAGGTGTTATCATGTTGATTGATGGTAAATATCATGTATTCAGAATTGATTGATTGATTGGTGGGTGGGTTAGTTGATTGACTGGTAAGATCTCGCCAACAATTTAATCACTGTGAATATTTCTCGGTTTCAGCAATCGAGGGAAAGTGTGAGGAGTGCCCCTTGGGTACATATGGTGAAACCTGTGACAAAAACTGTAGCAGTAACTGTGCCCCTCCACTGACAAGAAAGTCCACTGTCACAAACTGACTGGAAAGTGTTCGGAAAGATGCAACAGAGGCTGGCATGGGGACCAGTGTAATCTGGGGTGTAGCAAGAACTGCCACGATAATGTCTGTAACGTACATACTGGAACTTGCATACGATGTAAAGCGAACTATTCAGGGGGATTATTGTGAGACATACAAAGGTACGTGCACCACAGAAAATGTTTTTTTGTCTTTTTTTGTGGAAGCATGCAGCATTGTTTTGTCACCTGCAGACACTGTATTCCATAAGCAGCATATCTGCAAATGTTGCCATGTTGAGCTGGTTGTTTATTGTTTCAATATCATTTTTTATATTGACTAATGTTAAGCTTTCATGATTATATGTTGCTATGTGCATCATTTGTTTCTATTTTGTTGCTGTGACCAAGAGAAGGAGTCAGGAATTTTGATAAATACCTTTGTCGCTGTTCGGGATTTTGCGTCAGTCATGGCATCCCGCAGAAAGGAAACTTTGACAATTTTGCTTTAATTCGCCAAATCATTGTATTGTATTTATTTTATATTTCCTAATTTGATTAAAATGTTTAATATGTTATATCAATTAAGGCGAGTGAATCGTAAGACGTGTGCATACCTGGCCAATCATGCATACATCATTACATACATTTTGTCCATAAAACATGTTTCATGACCAAGGAAACTCCTTTGAAAAATGTCTGCATGTACAAAAACACCAACACTCTACAAAGGTATGTGTTCATTATGAAGATACAGCAGCGTCGTTTTTTTCTTAAGTAATGCATTCCTTTACAGAATGTGGTCCAAAGGAATGTGCACAGCAGGCGGCACAAGGGACTGCATCAACAACACTGGCCGCAATACTTGTTCCGGTGTTCATCATCCTGATCAGCATCATTGTTGCTCTAATTGTGTACAATCTTAGAATAAGGTATGAATGTAATATATCACTCAAAAATGTTCATCCAAAAGATTGCCTTTCAATGAACACATAACTAGTTCTCTTGTCTAACTAGGTTTAGGATTCGGCACATTATGTATGGGTGCTACCTTGGGCGGCATACAACATTATGTCCAGCTACGTTACTTAGCAGGATTCCACAGGGTCAAGTTATTTCCTACCACTGAAATCTGTTAGTAAATGCACAATACTTATATAAAACAATACCCTTAACTCTGACCTTCCCGTGATAAACAGTAAATAGTTATCAAGACATAAATACGAGAAACGATATCAACTTTTGATTAAAGATATTTCTGGATGTTTGTTTAGGTTAGAACCCGTTCGTGTTGTAACAGACGACTACGGGATAGTGTGGATAGTGTAAGTGTTTAACTTGATGCCTGTCATCGCATCCCTGAATTGTGGTCCAGATGCAATCATTAACAGACTGCCTAATATCTAAAACATTGATGAATGCGAACTTCCAAATTAGCAAACAAACATCACATTTGTTTGTTTTTTATCAATTACTGATTGCTGTCTTCTGTTGCAGATCGAAGGGGCGTAAACAAGGAGTGAAACAGTGTAAGATATTAACAACAGAGTACTGGCATCGCTTGTGACGGTTTTACTTACAAGTAACGTTTAAGTTTCACGGTTCTTCGGGGTTCAAACATTTGTACATTTATGATGTTCCCGCAATGTAACTATACTCAAATACAAAAGTAACGGATCACCCTCTTACTGATGTGTGATTTGATAACTAACCTAAGGAAAGGGTTATATAAGGTCATGCCTTCACAATGAATGATGGATTTAGTTGGATTCAAGTGTTGTGATATGGTAGTCCAAGTTTGTTTAAGGCATCTAAATTTCAATATGATAGTCAGGTGGACATTTTATATAAACAACTTGGATTATTTTTTCAAATGATAACCATTAAATTTGGGATTGGCGTGTTAATGCGGAACCTGGTCCTACAGTAGTGTCGAATAACAAGGAGAGTTCTATGGATATACACCTTCTTTAATATGATATGAGCGACGTTTCGGTGTAGCTACTAACACCGTTATCAAGCAAATGATGTACAATACTAGATGCAAGGTATATTTATATACATGGTAAAGTTGAACAGTAAGTGATGATGTTTACACAATTAATGAGGTAGATGCACAAGGTGGTGGATGTTTACACAGATCCCACTGATTTTTGTAAGAAGATCAGCACCATCAACAAACCAGGCCACCTTCTCAGCTACGATGTTGTTGACCTCTTCACTAATGTTCCCAGAGAACAAGCCCCTAGCCATCATTAGAAGTAGGATAGAGGAAATCCATGAAACCTTAGAAACCCACCTCACCCCTGACAGCATCATCCGACTCATCAACTCCTGCATCAGTTCAACCTATTTCACCTGGCAAGACAAGATCCTGCAACAAACCCACGGACTCCCCATGGGATCACCCCTCTCACCCATCATCACAGAGATATATATGACAGACCTAGAAGACAGAGCCCTACAGACATCGCCAATCTCCCCTATCTGCTGGTTTAGAAAAGTAGATGACACATTTGTCATGCTCAACCCTGATGATGACCCTAATACCCTCCTCAGCCATCTCAGTGCCCAGCACCCTCGCATGAAGTCTACCATGGAGGAAGAAACAGACAACCAGCTAGCTTTCCTCGATGTCAGAATAGAGAAAGACAACAACAAGCTCCAGACCAGTGTATACCGTAAACCCACCCATACTGATCAGTACCTTCACCACTCATCGAACCATCCCCACAAGTCAAGAGAGGAATAATAGCTACACTTACCCGACGTGCCAAAAACATCAGTTCCACATCACAACAACTCGAAGCTGAACTTCAACATCTGCGCCATGTCTTTAAGACCTACAAGAACTACCCTGCCAGCCTTGTAGACCGCACCATCAACGCCACCCTCAACCCGACAAACAAGCCCCCACGCCATCAAACAGCCCCGTTCATCATAAGCTTTCCCTATATAGGTTCAGCCAGCCACCAGATCAGCCGACTCTTAAAACACCAAGTCAACATTGATGTTGTGTTCCAGAGAGGTACTACTATACAGAACCTCCTAAAAGCCAATGGCAGACCAACCCCCACAACTAAAGAAGACCCCTCAGGCACAGTTTACCACATAAAGTGTGACTGTGGAGACTCGTACATCGGCGAAACCTCAAGACCCCTTACTGTAAGAATCAAAGAACATCAAGCCTCTGTGAAGAAGAAAGACTCTAAATCCGCCATCTCTGACCACACCCAAGCTCACCCAGACCACAACATCCTATGGAACAGCATCAATGTACTCACCAGCAATCACACCCACTACAAGATCAGAAAGCTACTAGAAGCCATTCACATCAAGAGACTCCAAAAGGCCATGAACAGAGACCAAGGATATTACATCCCCACTGCCTACAACCAACTCATCACCAAGCAATCTTAATCCTATTCTCCTGTCTGTCACTGGCTTCCTCCCTTAATCCCCCAATAGCTTACTATGTTTGTGTAACTATTTGCCTCTTGTGTAAACATCCACCACCTTGTACATCTACCTCATTAATTGTGTAAACATCATCACTTACTGTTCAACTTTACCATGTATATAAATATACCTTGCATCTAGTATTGTACATCATTTGCTCGATAACGTTGTTTGTAGCTACACCGAAACGTCGCTCATATCATATTAAAGAAGGTGTATATCCATAGAGCTCTCCTTGTTATTCATCACACCACCTTCTAAATGCCACTTAAACAAGCTACAGTAGTGTCGACTGTAGTATTCCGACTATACCATAGGAATGTGCTGATGAATAGCGATCGGTTCACATACGATTTCAAATACGAATACTGTTCTATTGTCATCTGCATCACAGGCATTCCTCCCACATTAAGTTGACACTCCAAGGGTTAAACATAAACGGATTAATATCAACTCACCAATTGATAGCTGTAGAGGTAAAAGGGTTATGGTGACTCAGAGGTGAAATCGGCTTATAGGATTACAAGACTTAAAATAGATTTCAAGAGAAAGCTGAAACAGGTGGTAAATCATGCACAAAACATGGCCCGGTAGTAGATTATCCACTTTTCTAAGACACACTTCCTTATTTTCAGTCTCGAATGATGAGGGCGACAGTGAAAGGCTTACCTCTCAGAAATGTAACAACACAGCTGCAAGTAAGTTTCTTTTAGCTCACCTAAGCTTCTTGAAATTATTGTTTAAAAATCAGTATCGCAGAAATGTCCCGGTCATAGTATTCAGACCATGTGGGTATTCCCTAGCTGAAATCAATAGTTCAAGCGATTTCAAAAGTTTCTTAGTTGTCATAGTTTCTTCAAAACTGTATTAATTTTGATGACTTTGTCTTCTTGTTTCATTAGATCTGAAAATTGTCTATTTAATACATTCAGCAATCATTCTGTGTATCCCCTCTTGTAATAGAAGCGACCTCCTGGCAGGATCCTTGATTCTCTATGCCATCTGTTTATGTCCATAATATCCTCTTTACGTCAGTTGATCTTACGTACGTACATGTGTATAGGTCAGTGACCTTGCACCATATGACGTAATATGTAGGGAGACGGCGCTCATCTTCAACAGAAGCGGGCAGATTGTCGTGGTGTCGGTCTTGGTTGTCGCCTCACCAACAATTACGTCGATGATGAAGAATAGCCGTCCGACTTCTGCATGTATGTAACTGACAGAGCGGGTCTCCGCATTGGCCACTCAGTTCCGGTGTGCGTTTTGCCACGTGTTTACAGTCAACTTGTACCATTTAGACCGATATTCCCAAGCTACAGTACAAATGGCTGCTGTTGTTCTAAACCTCAACGCTGACCTTGTTTACCATTTGTCAACTATCCTTCAATACCAACAGACTGCACCAACGCGCATGGACAGCTGAATAAAATCTGTTGAAACCAGTTTTGGTGAATTCGTGCCAGTCTCAAACGTTCCTGTGGATGGCGTAAGCGACACAGACGGGACTTGAGGACAAGCGTGTAACCTATGAGCATGGTGGCAGTTGCGTTGTCTGGGAGTGAACTTTTGTCCCAAATACTTAACGGAGAGCACTCGTCCAACAAAGTGCACTCCCGAACCTGCGACAGCGAGATAACGTCATCAAGAATTGATCTTCGCTTTGAGTTGTTGCCCATAATCTCCTCTATCATGGTCAGCCACGACCCTGAAACTATCCCGACTTTGTCTAGCGCCAAGTTTCTCCATCGTGTCATGACACTGATTTTCTCATTCACGTGAACGTCGGCCCATGTTTAGAGTTGCAAAGGATACAGCTGTTTTCATACGCGTGTCTGAGGACTGAAGAGCAAACGCAACCTCGCTTCTCCTGCACATGATTGTACTTCATGCCATCAAAGTACAGGTTTCAAAATAAAAACTCGATTTTCATTCATGACAGTTTGATCCTACACCTTCATAAAATTGATCAATACGTTCATTTTCTTTGTCTTAAACGGAAAACTATGCAATAATAATCGGACGATGAGGGAAAATGCCTAACCTCTCCGGAAGGTAGCAACTCAGCTGCAAGTAAGTTCTTTTAGCTCACCTAACCTTCTTAAAATTATCTTTTCCTAATCAGTATCGCAATATGTCCAGGTCTAAGTATTCAGACCGCGTGGGTATTCCCTAGCTGAAAGATAGTTTTCATGTTTGTCATCATATTCAGATTGCAGGAATTGTTCTCTGTCAGACTTGATTATTTACAAGTTTCCCTAATTATTACTCGAAAATTGCAAACTACATTTCATTTAACTCACTGTTGTATGTGTTCAAATATACTGACATGACATGCACTAAACGAATTTTAACAGTTCACTAAACAGACTTAGACAGTGTACACAAATTAGATCAAACACGACAAAATACGTATGTGGGATATTATAGTCAGTATAAAGACGGTAGTCGTCTCATGCTACAATTGAGGCGACCCATCTCTGCAACGCTTAGGTTACGGCGTTCCATTCCTGAGTGAGAACAAGGTCAAGACCATTTGGGTGATTCTCACGCACCATAATGCTCAATGGGTGATAGATCAGGAGGCTTGAATATTCTGTCATTGGTGAAGAGCGGTTTTCTTGCTACGAAAAGTAATCCACTGTGTTTTGTTTTGCCTGTACAATGAATTCAAGCCCACACCATGAATGTTCAATGACGTTGTTAGCGTCATACCGTTATCCCTCACGTCCCCAAACATCTGCAAACTGGATGTGAAATCTGAAATCAACAGTTTCTTAGTTGTCATCGTTTCTTTAAATCAGTTGATCTTAGGTATGTGCATAAGTCACCAGATGGCGCAATTTTTATTCATCTCTATCTGTAAAACCTGACTGACAGAACGACGGATCAGACCATCAACAGAAGCGGACGAAATGTGCGACTTGTTATGGTGTCGGCCAAGGCCGTAGTTTCACTAACGATAACGTCGATAATGAAAAATCACCCTCCAACCACTGTACATAGAGCGAGTCTCCTTCAATCGGTCCGTTCTGTCACGTGTTTCCAGTCAACCTGTACCATTTGCACCATTATTATTACCCAGCTACAATACAATTGGCTAAACCTCAATGCTGACTTTGTCTCCCATTTGTCAACTATCCTGAACTACTAACAGACTGCATCAACGCTCGTCAACAGTTGAATAAAGTCTGCTAAAACCACTTTGGGTAAATTCAGGCTAATCACAAGCATTACTGTAAATGACATAAGCGACACAGACGCGACTTAAGGACAAGCGTGTAACCTATGTGCATGGAGTTAGTTGCTGTCTGAGTGTCGCAGGAACTACAAAGTCCATTCTGGCTGATGATATTTATTGTATGCACGAAACCTGTGGGTCACAACAACATGTTAAAGTTGCTGCCTGACATGTGTGTCATTTCACAGATAATATAAATGTTAATCATCAATTATTAAATACTCAAAATATATTCTATGGAAGTACTTGTATTTTAAACAATTAATTTTATCACTGGCAATTTCCCCATAACATTGTTTAATATCATGTTGAATATACTTCATACCTGAGAAATAAATACCTTTTGCATAATCAATTAAAACAATCATTCCAAATTCACAACATTCCAAATTTACAACATACCCGGGGGTCACAACAACATGTTAAATTTGCTGCCTGACATAGTGTGTGCTGGGCCTCTGACACATGTAGTTTTTATAGAGAGCAGTCATGTGACCTGCCCCGCAACATTTGCAGGGACTGCATGTGCCAAAGCCCAGGATGTTCCAGTCAGACCACAAGTAAGGTGGGCTGTTTACACCAACATCAGTGAGAGTGCTGGAAAGTATGGTGCAGTGTTAGTGACAGATATTAGCCTGTGACACCTTCCCCCTCTTCGTGAAAATGTCCTCACTGACATTTCAAAGACGATCACCATCTGAAATTTAAAATCAACAGTTCATATTAGCATACATATACACGTTATCTGAAGGAATGAATTTTCTCAGACGAAGACTTCAGTATTGGCCTGATGCTGCATGACCCAGTTACCATCACTGAACCAAGTCGGTTGTCTTCTGTCACGAAGAGATCGGCGAGGTACGAATGGACTGACTTGCTGATCAAGATTGGTAGGAGTCTGAACATCCATATTCTGCTCCTGACTTGTATCTACAACACTGACATCATTTGAAATAGCGGGAGTATAAACCTCACGAGAAGATGAAACGAGAGAAAGACCACCGTTTCCAAGGCCACTCTGAGAGACAACTACCCAATCTTCACAATCACTGTTATCCGACGAAAGATGGTCAGATTCCTCAGAGACCACACCCTGATTTGATTCATCCTGCCGGAATACTTGCTCACCTGGAGATAGGAGAGACATGAAAGGAAGGAGCATGTTTCTGTGCAACGTCTTTGTGGAGCCTTGTCCGTCTTCTCGTTTGACGATGCAATCAGGTATATCTCTGTTCAGCTGACAGAGTAAAACATAAGACTCACGAGACCAAAAATCTGCCAATTTATGTTTTCCCTTCAAACCCACATTCTTCACCAGAACCCTATCACCTTCAGAAAGAACAGCTTCCCTCACCCGACTGTCATATCTCATCTTATGACGACTAGCAGCGTTTTCGGATTGCTCAGAAGCAACCTTATAAGCAAACTTCAACCTTTCCTTCAATTGTGACACATAATCTGTCCCAGACCTCTCATGTACATTTTCAAAAAAAGCATCCAAAGCTAAACGTGGATGGCGTCCGAACATGAATAACCTGTACTATCATGTTTGGTAGCATTGTATGCATGGACTAGAGCTGGAACATATATTTTCCAATTTTCCTTCTGATTATCCCCCAAAGTAACATTTTGTGAAGAGTCTGGTTGAACCGTTCTACCATACCATTTCCCATAGGATGATATGGTGAGGCGCTAGTCTTCACTGTACCTGCAAGTCTACATAAAGCTCTGATCACTTTAGATTCAAAATTTCTTCCTTTGTCACTATGTAGTCGAGCTGGAAATCCATAATGAAGGAAAAAATCAAACAAGACCTTAGCTGTTGTAGTAGCAGTCTGGTTTTTCGTAGGGATAGCCTGTGCAAACCTGGTAAAATGATCGGTGATCACTAGAATATTACCATAACCTCTAGCTTCCTCCAATGACAGATAATCAATACAAACTAATTCCATAGGTTGACTAGTGGTGAGATTAACCAACGGAGCAGCTACTTGGTTTGAGAATTTTTTAGCCTGATACATCTGCCACAACATCTGACCTTTCTATCCACATCACTGGTTAAACCAGGCCAATAGAACCGTGACTGAACTAAATCCACTGTTCTATCGCGTCCTTGATGACCCATATCATCATGTAGTGCCTGAAGAACAAGTGTTTGCCACTGTTTTGGTAAGACAAGTTGATATCCTAAACTGTTTTGATGCCACCTCTTCCTGCAGAGAATACCATCTCTTAAGACAAATTTTGACCATTGTCCTAAAAGCCCACGTACAACATCAGTTCCCTTACTAAGTTGACGTGGAGTAGGTTTTCTCTCCTTCAGCACAAAATCTGCTACCCTAGCTATATCAGGATCCTTGGATTGTTCAAATATCCAATCAATATGATTTAAAAGGGACTTTGCTCTCCTCAAGAACAGCCGGACATACACCTAACGACTCAACAGCATTCATGGTCTGACAAGAACAAACTGCTTTGACTACATCTGCCTGAATATGCTGAGAAAACTGAGGGTGATGGGATAATGCATCTGCATCTTTGTTACTTTTACCTGCACGGTAGGTAACTTTGAAGTCATAAGTGGACAAAGCAGCTAGCCATCTATGACCAGTGGCATCCAGTTTGGCTGTAGACAAAACATATGTAAGAGGATTGTTGTCGGTTCTTATTTCAAAACGACTTCCATATAGATATTCATGGAATTTATCACATACAGCCCACTTCAGCCCCAAAAAATCCAGTTTATGGATTGGATAATTTCTCTCGGTTTTCCTCAGTGCTCTACTAGCGTATGCTATCACACATTCCCTACCATCTGAACTTGATAAAGTATTGCCCCCAGGCCTTCCATACTTGCATCTATGTTAAGGATAAAAGGCTTAGTGTAGTCTGCATAGGCTAGTACAGGAGGTGATGTAAGGCACTCAATTAAAGTATCAAAAGCATCCTGCTGATCACTATTCCACGTCCATATCCCCTTCTGTTTTGGCTTTCCCTTCTGGAGATTCCCAAGAAGTAAATCTAACAAAGGTTTTGCTATCCTGGCATAGTTTTTTACAAATTTCCGATAGTAACCTGTGAACCCTAGAAACTTCTGTAGTTCCTTGATATTCTTTGGAATTGGCCAATTTATCAATGCTTCGATTTTCTCTGGATCAGTTTCTACACCCTGAGAAGAAACAATATGCCCAAGGTACTTTACCTCACTTCTGAAAAGCTCACATTTTGAATGCTTTAACTTTAGACCATGCTCTCTTAATCTCTGAAAAACAGCCTCAACTCTCTCCAAATGTTGTTCAAATGTTTTGAGAAAATGATGATATCATCAATATAAATCAAGCATTCCTTAAGATGTAAATCCCCCATGCATCATTCCATTAATCTCTGGAAGGTTGCTGGTGCGTTTGTCAATCCAAACGGCATTCTGTTACATTCATAGAATCCGAGAGGACCTGCTGAAAATGCTGTTTTCTCTTTGTCTGATTCCTTAAGTTCTACATACCAGTATCCAGAGCTCAAATCTAGCTTTGAGAACCATCCCGAACCAACGAGACAATCAAGAGTTTCATCAATCCTGGGTAGAGAGTATGAATCCCTAATGGTTCTAGAATTGAGCTTTCTCATGTCAATACATACTCTCAAACTATGGTCACATTTGCGAACCAAGAC